AAAAAAAAAAAAAAAAAAAAAAAAATTATAATAATAATAATCAAATAATCAAATAATAATAATAATAAAATAAAATACTTCTGTACAAGACTAATAAGAAGAAAAAAAAAATATATAATATATATATATATATATATATATGTAATAATACGTATGTCTAAAATGTCTATATATTATAATATATATGTATATATAGTTATTACAATCATATATACATATACATATATATATATATATATTATTACAAATATAATCTAACATTACGCATGTGGTATAATATAATGTATCTAAAAAATAAATATTACAAATGTACGATAAATATAATATATTATTTTTTTATTAATTTTTTTTTTTTTTTTTATTTTTTTTTCAAAACAAAACACATAAACGTTATTCGTTCAACGCTTTTATTACGATAACGGTAAATGAGGAGGTCGGCGGAGACGAGAATGTTAATAATATTATTGCGCAAGTTCGTTCCGACCGAAATATTTATAAAAAAAAAAAAAAAAACAGGAAAACGTAAATTTTTTTTTTAAATATTAGGCCCGTGAATCGTTTCGACGATAACCGGGCCGGGAAGTGGATCTCGGACCGCCGAGTTGATTATTTTTGTTTTTATTATTATTATATTATTATCGTTATTATTATTATTTTCTGTTCGAGCTATCTCGTAGGAAAAAAAAAATTTTTTAAATATAATATGTTATTTTTTTTTTTTTTTTTTTTTTATACAATAAAATTTGTTTATTATATTATTATTATCGTTACGTATAGTAGCTCTTTGGCCCGTTATCCAACCAGACTAGATAAAAAAATTACATAAATTAAACAGGCACACCTAATAAGTCGTGAATACAATGTAGTATAATATCATTACAATATATTATGTTATTATTTTTGTTATTATTATGATAAAACTATATAGGAATGTACACTTACATTTATGTATTTATAATATACGTTACGCCGATGAGGGAAAACTGTATTTTATGTATATAGGGGAGGTTTTTTAAACGCGCGTGTACCCAATAAGCGTGGATGTCCGCGTACACGTTGTATTATGTCCGAATGCGAAAAAAAAATAACCGATTTTTTTTGGTTTTTTTTTTTTTTTTAATTATTCTTGTTTCTCTAGATTAAAAAAAAAAAGAAAAAAGTTTTATACATATAAGGAACTCTCGTACACGGTATATATTAGGTATTATTTTTATTATTTTTTTTTTTAAATTTTATTTTTTTCACAGTGCCCCTCGCGACTGTTAAAAAAAAAAAATTATTTTTTTATTATTTTTTACATATTCGTATATTAGCATAATAATATATGTATACGTACGCGTACATTACTATATACTGCGTAATAGGGCTTACAGTCTTGTATTCGTCTAATTTTATACATTATATATATGTATATATAATTTTTTTTAAATTTTTTTTTTTTCGTAGATATTATATTCGTTCAGTCTTTATACGCAAGAAATTTATTATTATTATTTTTTTTTTTTTTTACAATAATAAATATTATAATATACCCTTAGAGGAGAAAACCGGTAGGGGAGGGGGGCGATCGTGTTGCAAGCGTATACTGCACCTACACGTCGGCTATATAATAATATAGATAAATATATTTTTACACGGTTTTCTCGGTTTTCCAGAAAACTGCAGCGAGAATTATATGTTTTTGTTTCGGTTTTATTATAGATATAATATAATTTATTATATTATATACTACAGTGAACAATATTCTTCGTGCGTTTTCTTCGTTATATATTTTATTAATAAGTTTTTTTTTTTTATTATTTTTTTTTTTTTTTAAATTTTTATTATCACAATATTTCACAGCCAACACAAAAAGCGACACGCACGAACTAAAGAAAAAAAAAAAAAAAAAAAATTT